ATCAATGTACATAAAACTGGTGAAATCTGAGTAAGACCAATGGATTTTATCAATGACAGTTTCCGGATTGTACTAATGAACTCTAGCTATGTAAAACATCACTGAGGGAATCAGGGTAGAGTGTAGATAACATCTCTTCATTTTATTCCTTATGACTGCATGTTTTAAGAAATACAGTTTTTAAGAAGTTTATTAAAAATGCTTTCAAAAGATAAGGAAACTCTAATTAATGTAATTATAAAATGTTCATCCATAGAAACAAATGAACCCACAGAAAATTAGTGGAATTTTAGACAGATCCTGTTTAGATGATCTGTACATTTATCTAAATAGCAATATTTTTTAAAGAGAGAACCTTTCACATTTGTGTAGTTTGTTCATGTTGATTCATTTTACATTTAAATAGGATCATTTTATATTTAAATTGGCTATGCAGCTTAGAGTAAGTATATATGTAATTACAAAACTATAGTTTCATAAGGACATTTAAATAGCTTTCTTGTAATTGGCTAGTATTTTAAATTTATTTAAATTCATAATCTTTTATTCTAGAACATGAAAAATGATTCATATTGTTATTAGTCTGTGTGAGATTCTTTGATTTATTTAAGAATGGGTTCTACATAGTTCTGTAAGTATTTTGGTACTCTCTTGAAATAGGATCTGAAGAGTTGGGTAGCAAAATTGCATTATTTTGGTTGTAATTGGTGCCTTTCAGTTCCTGGGTTCACTCTAGGAAGCACAGGTTCAGACTTGAAATCAACTTCTATGACAGTTGCTACTATGGACTGAATTGTGTCTCCCTCAAACTCACCTGTTGAAGCACTGATATCCAATGTGTCTTTGTTTGGAAATAATTATTTGGAGGGAATTAAGGTCAAATGAGGTCATAAACATTGTCCTATGTGATAGGACTATGTTATTGGTGGCATCATAAGGAAAGACTTTCATGCTTTTCCTCTGTCATTCTTTCTCTCTCCTACCCACCCCATGTGTCTCTTCATGCATGGAGCAAGGAAAGGCTATGTGAGCAAGTGGTGAGAAGATGGCCATGTGTCTGCAAGCCAGGAAGAAGACTTTCACCAGAATCAAACCAAGCTGCCATGCTGATCTTGGACTTCCAGCCTCCAGAACTTTGAGAATGTTGTTGAAGCCACTAGTCCACAGTATTATGTTACTGTATCCCAAATAGACTAAGACAGTTTTCAAGGTTCAACTAGGAGTTGTGTTCACCAAGAGGAAAACTTTGGCTCAAAAGTAGAGTCTATATGTTTTCTCCAGCATCTAGGAAGCTGGTCCTTCTGACAGACACTTTGAGAAAAGGAAACTCTAAGAATGACTATCAGTGGGAGTCTGCACCTGGGGAAGGGGGCCAGGCCATACTCCAAGGTCAGTGTCCAGAGTGATGTGGCTCTCTTTCTTCTCTGTGCTAACTCCTGTTTGCACCTCTAGAGGGATGACAAAAGATCACACAGTCTTTATTTGTTAGATGTAGTCAGAGGATTAAATTATAGTAACAGAGTAAGTTGAGGGGAAACAGAGGATGTTTGATTTCTAAACCATTAACAGCTGAGAGTAAATTTGAGCTGAGAGTAAATTTGTAAATCCCCAGGAGGTTTCAGAAGTGAGGACCAGATCAATACCTCCTGGAGCAGTGCTTCTCAATTTAATGTGCACACATATCATCCAGGAATTCTCATTCAGTAGGTGTGAAGAGGGGGCTGAGGTTATTTATTTCTAACAATGCTCATACAGGGAGTGGGTGTCCAAAGACCAGACTTTGAGAAGGCCCTAGATTTAGACAAGAATCCTGCTGATCCTGTCCTATTCCAAACTCCAGGCCCCATGATATTGTGGAATTCATCTGAACCTTTGTACTGGAGGTGGCAATCACCAAAGGACCCCTTAACTTGCATGGTAGAGGGGGCTCAACTGTGGATTTACAAATTTACTCTCTTTGCCACCTATCCTAGTTGCCATAAACTTATTTTTCTGTGGTTTTCCCACAGCATTTCAGAGTGCAAGGCATATAACAGATAAAAAAATGACCAACTTTTTTATCTTCATAACCTTGCCCTGTGTTCACTCCTAATCATGTCTGATGGGTTTTCATGAAACATCCCAGGGATGTTAATGGATGACATTATTCTTGATAGTTATCTAAGAATAGCAGCATTCTAGAGGAGGTCTTAGGTCAATATAGCAATGAGGAATGTTTCATTTATGAAGAATTCACATGCCTAAAGTACCATGTTTCTCTTTCCACAGAAATGGTCCATAGCTTCTGGCCTGAGCATGCTGTAGCCCCGCTTTGCTGAGGTTTCCCATCAGGGAGCAAGAAGGATCTAGGCTTCTCAAGAGGCAGGGATCCCTGAAAAGAGCTTAAGATGCTGTCAGAATTGCTTTTGGTGTATTAAGGGAAGGAAATTCTGACTAAAACTTGGAAGTCCTGAGGGACAGTATGGCAGCATTTGTGAGCTATGGTTATGAATTCATCCTGCAGCTATTTGAGGAAGAAATATTTTTTAACATATACATTATCACTTGGTGGCAGGGTATGGGCATACAGCTACATGTGTTAACAATCCACCAGTTCCCTGGGACAATCAAGAAAAATTCCAGTAAGGTAGAAGTCTGGGCTTAAGGCCTTCAGGTTCAAGGTTTAGCTTTGGCCTTTATTTGTCTCTCTCGAGAACTTTAGTGATGTATGTAAATTCTATAAGCCTGTTTGTCAAGGAATGCAAGCAAGCAAACAACAAACAATAACATCTAACCTCATATGATGTCAAGGAGATGAAAAAACGCATGGCAAAGATGAGCACAGACCTGGCACATGATTTAAGACCGCATGAAGTGTTAATGCTTCAAATGGAATCCATTCCAGAATATTTTTCATAACCTAGGACTTGATGTTATACTTATACTTGGTTATGCTTTTTTGTCATTTAGGCAGTTTTACCCCTGTTAAGCTCCCTGCAAAAATAGAGGAATTGCTTTACTGTGGCTCAATCTCTTACATGTGACTATAGACTCGTTATCTGAGAATCTGTCCCCTTCCTCTTCTGTCACCTCCCACCCCTTGTCTCCATTCCACTGACTCTGTTCCCCTCCTCACTCCCCCTCAATTTGGATCTGGCTCCATATGCTTACAGATCAATATAATTTGTGACCATGTAGTTCCATTCCCATGTTTAAATTCCTCGTGACCACTTTAGGCCCTGTTTTTGAAGTTGAGTTTCTCAGCTCAGACCAAACCTGTAAATTTGATGGGTCTCTTCAGGTTTTGAGTTGGATCCTATGGTATACAGTGGTACCTCGGTTCACAGATGCTTTTGTTTGCACCCAATTTGGGCTTCAAACAGAAGTGTTTGGAAAATTATTTTTTTGTAAACTCTGCATTGGGTGACAAACATGACCAAAGCTTTCTTTCCCACACAAACAGAAACGTGGCCATCTTTTCTAAAATCAGAGAACAAATTAAGTTTGTGAACTGAATTACCACTGTGCTTCTCTTGCCAATGGCCAGAAAGTAAAAAAAATTGGGTTATATTTGTCTAATTGAGTTGTGGGTGGACAATTCCAAATGACATCTATCTCTTGGTCTACTGTGGTTACCTAACACTTCAGTTTCCTTAAACTGTCCCGGTTTACCCTGTTTTATTAAGGAAATTAAAGACATCCTCTTTCTCTCTCAAAAGTGTCCTGACTGGAAGATACATTGAAGGTCACCTTATGTCTTGGGATTGGTATATATTTAAGCCTATTTTCAAACAGAAGAGATGGTGGGTTACTAGGCAAAAATTTCTTCATGACATTACAATAAGAATAGTGAGAAGAAAAGTCTGATCGAAGCCTCAAGTTTCAGAAATGGTGTTTCAAAGTTTTTTCCCCCTTCTTTATCTGTAGTGCAAACTAGAATGTGTTTTTATCATAGTAAGCAGCATTTTAGAAAACTGGAAAAAAACTTGCTACACAATTTACATTCTATGTGGTCAATCCCATTCAATGGAATAAATATAAGCAAGCCCAAAATACTCTAGGGAAACACACACACACACACACACACATCACACATTTCTGATGCTTTTGAAACCCTCTTTTCTTTTTCTCACCTTACTTGTGATACTGGGTAGAATGCATCTTCCATAGGGGTGTGAATAAGAAATCTAATAATACTCAGAACTAGAAAGAGCTGGCAAAGCTTGTTCATCCTAAAATTGGGCCACCATGCTAAGATGCAATAGAAGGAAAGCACTCAAGGAGATGGGAGGGGAAACTCTTAGATTTGTACGCATCAGCCATCTCTACCTGAATAGAAGAGATAAGAGCTGGTGTAAGTGCCACATACTATCAAGCCATGTCAGTGACACGGGACCACAGTGAATACAAGGAGACAATGCACACATGTAGCTGACAAACACTGTTCTGGATATGGAACAATCCTTTGTCTCAAGCAGCAGCTGCTGCAGTGGAAATTCAATGCTCCCAAGACAGGCCATTTACTGCGCTCACAATTTCTCAGTTACTCTGGAGAGGAATATACAATCTGTCATTACTCATTGCACACAGCATCTGTTAACCAGCTCTTTCCCTTTTACACTCTAAAAAAGGCCATGGGGTGGTAATGGAGGCAATGCAAAATGCTGCCACCTGGTAAAATATAGTTGAAAGGGAAAGTATAACAATCCCAGAGGAGCTAGAATGGACAAGGAAACAATGGGTAGTTAATATTTTTTTCTTATCAGCTGTCTTGCAGTAGCTGAGCCAGATACAATAGGAAGTAATGAAGAAAAAGTTGTATCTTTTTCTGTCATTAAAGCACCATCAAACCTCAAGATTAGAGAAGTCTCTCAGACAGAACACATTCTAACTTACACTTGGTTACTCTGAATGATAGTGATTTATAATCAGCTCCAGGTTATCTTTGACATTCTATCAGCTCACATATTTGCATACTCAGGAGGTGTATGGGTACAAAAACATTAATATGAAATCCATTCTAATGTTACAGTAGAATGACATGTAATTTATTCATATAACTGACAGTTAGGCAGTACTCAAAATTCATTTAGATAAGCAAGTGATTACACAAACATCTAATAATACTAAAATTGACAGTCCGAAAGTATAAAATACCATGGGTATGAAATGCCATGGTGAATACTATTCAACAGACTACAATCATAATTCCAAACTAAATCACATTTTTGGAATGATTTTTAGCAATTTTGGGATGATTTGACTTTTCTTCTTCCAAGCAACTTACTTCTTTCACTGATACAAGACAAGGTCATTATTTTCAAGAAGCATTGCACAGTGACATAGCTTAAGTTTCTCTCTTACAATACATTTTCTTGGAAGTTGTTTTTAAATATTGTCCCTTGACATGGAAAACAAATCAGCCAGCACACAGTTCCCCAAGCAAAGATGCTTGGATCAGAAGAGTGCTAGAATAGAATTTTGGGTTCAGCAAGAGGCAGGCAGTGAAACATCTTTTGTAGCTTTTGAAATATGTTCACTTTTTTTCTAAGGCTCCAAGCATCATAAATATATTTAGACATCCAAGCCAGTGAAATTATGGGAATAAAATAATTTGATATCCAGATGACAGTGACACAATAGCAAATGGGCTTAAGTTACAATATAATTCTGCAGTATTTCACATGAGATAGCTCCTACCTAGATACTTCTTGGAAGCCTCATTACATGTTTTGTGAAGTGCAGCTATGTTTGTAGGAAGAGTTTGGCTTATCATGTGTCTGTCTGTATTAATTTAAAGTCTTACACTATCAGAATGAAGTCCAAGCATGAATCTGGCTTGAAAAGCTAGCAGCAGTAGTCATGAAACATCAATAATAAATTAAAAGGCGTTCACAGAACAGGATTTAGCTAAACTTCTTACATACAAAATACAGCTAGAGAAATACAAGTCTTTAATGTTGAGTATGAGGGAGAGGAAAAAAATCTAAAAAAATAGAAAACTCTCTCCATACCTGGGTGTCAAGGCAAGATGTAACACTGCATAATGCCACAAGGTGAGCAGTCACTAGAGGACAGATACTCCAGAAATAGTGGTATCTGGGGATCTCGGGATTATGACCAAGAGATGAAAATACTGTACCAAAAGGCATGCATATAATCACTGTGTGCATTCAGTGTATGAGCTGTGACCTAAGCAGAAGTCTAACACAACAATGAGGCAGTGTTCCAGGGTATCCATTAAAACCAGCGTGGGTGACTACATGTTGATTAAACCTTCCGAGGCAGCAAAATGTGGGCACAGTGCCATGTCTGGGTTTTGCAGCTGTTTTATGATCCTCTTGCGGAATTTTTCTCGCACACGATTAAATTCCATTATGTCCATGGGGTCTTCTTCAATCCAAAATTTGTGAAATTCATGCATCAAATAGCCTGTTGGAGATAAGATAATAAGAAAGCAGGAGGCAAAGTTCATAATTACATTTAAAATTATCCTGAATTATACCAAAACAATAGTAATCATGGAGCTCAAGAAGACATCAAAAATTAGTAAATGTAACTATTCAAGATTATTTTTTAAGGCCATTGGAGTAGATGCTACCAATCCTCAAGACTTTTTCCAATTGGTCCTGGAATTGTTCTGGGGTTTTTTTTGTTGTTGTTGTTTTCTTTTTTGGTACCAAGGATTGAACTTGGGACCTTGTGCTTGTGAGCCAGGCAGCGGAACCACTGAGCTAAATCCCAGGCCCAGTCCTGGAATTATTCTTAATTCCAAAAAACAGAAAGACAAATCAATTCTGCCATCTCTTGAATATGAATCCTATTGGGAACACATTCTGAAAGGCCAATGGTGATGGCTTCATTCTTCCCCTCCCAATTAAATTAACATAATGGTTGGATTTTTCAAAATTACTCAGCTCCGCCTTTTTTCTCTTGATATTTGATTTAAAGTTTTAAATTACCCTGACAAATCAAACAAATGCATTCTGACAATCTATTATAAGACAATAAGAATATAAATCAACTCTGAGCAGCACAGACTGGTCATTAAGGTAAATGAAATTGTCAATAAGACTTCCTGCTCTGAAGCATAATTTCATATTCAAGTGCTTTTGTGTCTCAAAAGTGTTATCCATGAATGATCTGGAATGGGAAAATTTTGGGGAAAAAGTTAAGCATTTGATACAAGAATCTTTTCATGCATTCTGTACCCCCTCCCTCCAAAACTTTTGCTTGTTTATTCACTACATTTAAAATTGAAATGTGAACAGTTCTTTAAAAAGTTAGTACTGGCTATTTGTGTGTAGCAAACCCATTGCAAGCTCAGGTGTCTTTATATATCAAAAAAAAGTATTTAAAGAAATAATACTAATTAACAGAGAGAGGGGAGGGGGATGGATGGAGGGAAGGAAGGAGAGAGAGGAGAAAGAAAGGAGAGGAGGGAGAGAGAGAGGGAGGAAAAATAAACATTACACAATCTGTCTTAACTTTAGCAGCAGTAGAATAGGAGAATAGGAGCCAGGGTTCTGGAGCCAAAAATCTGGTTTGAATCTCAGCTCTTCCTCCTCCATACGTAAACAGAAGTGGGGAGGAGTGAGCAGTGGGAGAAATAATGGGGGCACAGGAGAATTTGGAATAAACACACAAAATTAGAATTAGCTAGCTAAATTAATTAGCTAAAGAATACCTTTAACATAGTTTCATAAACAGATTTTTACAAAGCTTTATTCACATCTCACTATAATACAAAATTACGAGTGACCTCTTTCCAACACATATTAACAGATGATGACCAACTTGCATCTTCTTATATTTTTAAATATGTTCTTTAAGTACATGGTCTTACCACAAATATATGAGAAAGGGGAGAGAGTATTTATTTCACAGTAGTTTTGGGTTCACTGTCCCACTTGTTTCAGGACTAGTCTGTCTTGGAGCCCTCCACATATAGTAACTGATGTGACTGCTATTAACATTTCTGAGGCAGGCACATACCACCATCACCTAGCTGGCCCCTGGGCTACAGGAGCTAGGACTAACAGAAGAGCCCCAAATCAGCAAGTCCGCAGCATCCCTGGAACCATATCATCCGCCTCTGCTCATCTAAAGTTTGGATTTCCTGAGGCAGCCACGGTGGCATCCAAACTTGAAAGTCTCTGGTGACAATACTGAAGGTTCCATGGATGGGAAGCATGAGTCTGAAAATTCTGATTCTTCCTCATGCTGAACCCAGAACTGTTGCACTGTATTTCATGGAACAAATTCAGTCTTTCTCTAACTCAAATATTTGAAATGTGCTTTATGCCCATCTCCTCTCTGGGTTAGGCATTCCTATTGCTCCTTATCATTTCTCACATGCCACATTGGAGTCTGTTTATCATCCTGGTTGTTTTAACAAACACCAGCAGAAACTTATTTCCTCTGATCTCAGTGTCTTATTCAACCAAAAGTATTCAATTGTCTGTCCATTTCTGTCTCTGGAGAAACTCCTAAAATGTCCCAGGAATAGTCTGGAGTACCCATTGAAAATATAGATCTCACGAGATTCAACCATACTACCAATTCAGTAAGATGAATGTTGTGTCACTGCAGTTTGAGAACATTTGGTTTGGAAGATGGCATCTCTCTAAGTTCCTCAGTTTTCTTCTAAATGTTACAATTAGTATGGGTTTAAAAGAAATCTGTGATCATGTGTAATTTCTTAGTAAGTAAAATACACCCATAATTTTCCTTGTTGGTCTTTGAACTCAAACACACCTGGGTTATTGTGTATGTAGAGTCAGGTTTCTGATTCTATGAGTCAAACTCATTCATGATGAATCTCATTATTATCTCAAGAATGAAAGCATCTCACTCTTATAGACAATGATAAGTGGACACTGTGAAAAAATTTTATTTTTAATTATACAGATATAGGTTATAGTGTGATAATTTGATATCTGTATATAATGTGGAATGATCAAATCAGGATATGTAGCATCTTTATCTCCTTAAACATTTTTCATCATTTTTAATAAGGAATTAAATTTTCTGCAATGTACATAAAATGTTCACTTTTCTATATTTTACATTTTCATTTTTCCAGATATGCTGGAAACTTACTCTAAAGATGATGTGGCATCACACATTATTATTCTATAAAAATGTAAATCCATTTTGTTTCCCTATTTTCTGCCTTACATACAATATCAGAAAAAGTCTTGGAAGGTTTAAAAAATTGGCTAGAGTAAGGGTAGAGGTGGCAGTGGTTCATAATCTCATACATTCTCATGATACTTTCTCTTAAAGCCACAAATTCAAATTGCAAAGCTTAGAGACAGATCCCCTAGAACTCATTCTATCCCATCAGGAAAATAGAGACTATGTAATATGACCATACTAAAAATGCAGAAATGGTGCTCTGCTGTCCAAGTAAGTATTACACTTATAAAATTCCACTCTGTATAATATTACAGAGTGCTCAAAGACTCATTTAGCCAATTGGTCAGATGACCCATATGTCAACTAACAAATATGTAATAGACACAGCAGTAGGTACTGAAGATGAAGAAAAAGGCAGTGTTCCTGTGTTCCCTAATTCTTGTCTGTTGGAAAGAAGGAGGCAGGTATACAATTTCAGCTGATGATTGTGAGCTAAAGAAGCTAACAAAGAGGTGTGGAAAGGAGAGGGAGAAAACAGAGGTCAAGCTATTACTTACAGTCTCTCATTTAATTCTCGCAGCAGCTTTGTGGGGTAGAGTGGATTCTGTATTTCCATTTTAGAGGAAGACTCTGGACACAGACAAGATATGTACTTGAATGGGGCAATTACACAATTACAGCTGGAAGGCAGGTCCTGAAACCAGCTAGCTGTCCACCACTGCAACAGGCTCCTTTTCCCGCTACATCCCATTCCTCTGGTTCCCATTCCCACTGAATAATTCTCTCTCTCTTTTTTTTTGAATGTCAAAGAAAAGATCATTCCTTTTCTTCTTCTGGCCATGGTACTTTCCCTTGCTCACTACATCTAACTTTACTCCATTTCAGTGGGATTCTGTGTTCAGTGGAGCCTTAGGTTGAATGCAATTTTTGTAACATATTTTCTTGGCAGTACAATTTTCACTGAATAACACTATAAAGTCAGAATGATAGAGCCATTATATTCTCATATTCTTCCACCTAAATAAAATACTTGTTTTGAATACTAATTTGGCTTTCCATCCCAAGCTTGCAGTACATTTATTGCTGCTGAATATGTCTTGGTTTCGCTTCACTGCATCCAGTTAGTAGAGAGCAGAGACATGTGCAAGAACATAGGTAATCACAAGAATACTGTAGAGGAGTTGTGCAGAACTGGTCAAGTCTGATGGAGGAATCATAAATCTAGGGCAGAGTTTGCTTCCTCTAAAGACTCTCAAGTCCCTCTGCCTATAACCCAACCCATAGGAGATTGCTGCTGCTTTCAAAATCTGAAGATTGCCCTGGGAAATAAGTAATTTATTGCATGCTTACTCTTCTGGGCCAGGATTCTCTTGGAAACATATGAATCTAGGCCAAGACTAAAAATTTCCAGATCAATCAGATTTCCTTTTTCACTGCAAAGAACATCATCCAGTATCTTAGTCTCCCATCCATCTCCATTCTTCCATCCATCCATCCATCCATCCATCCAACAAAGAGTCAAAGAGTTACAGAGCACTACTGTATACTAAGCTCTGCACTGAGGATATGGCAGAAACAAAACAGACATTGCTATACTTACATGCAAATTCTTTACGGTTTTAGTTTTGATTATTTCCTTGGAGATGACCCTCACTTTACTGTGTGGCTCTGACTTTTTTTCCAATGTTAATGAACTCCAGATCTATAGATTGAGCCCTCTGATTCTTCAGAGCTCTGATGCCTTATATTTGGATGTCCATTTTGTGGTGCCATATGGATTTCCCAAAAGGAGCTTATCTTCAATTTGGCTAAAATTACCCCCCCCTTCTATTTTCCCTCACAATTATTTCCATGATTTCTCTAAAGAGCATGGAAAACATAGAATATTTTAAATACAAGGGGCTAGGGAAACAGAATGAGGTTTTATTTAGCTATAAGTTCATACTCTTTAATGAGGTGCACAAAGCTCTTCAAGACCTGCCCCAATTCCACTTCTACTTTCCAGCATCATCTCTAGTCATTCCCTTCTCACACCCTCAGCTCTATTCCTTGGATCCACCTCTCTCTTGCATTATGGTCTTCGCCCTCATCATTTCCTCAGGCTGGACCACTCAGCCACCACTGCTTTCTTTCCCACCACTCATCCTTCAGGGCTCATTGAAAATGGCATTTGCTTTGAGAAACTCCCTGATTTCCACACTGAGTGAGCTATGACAGCCATAAGCCTTTGCTATTTTTTAAAACAGGGACTTTACTTCTTCAATACACAATTCTTCCCACTTTGTATTAGTTATTCATTTAGATGTCTGTCTGCCTTATTACAGAGCCTGATCTACAGTGAAATCTTAATAATATTTGTTGGACATATCAGAGTTGCTATAGGAGTAAATATAATCATCTAATTGTCAAAATAAGAGCTGTAATAATGTTATGCAAAGAGCTTACATTTTATTAAATCATAAACTATATTCATCTTTAAATTTTCTTTTTACATTTATCTAAGTTATATATGTACATTGTTCAGAGTCAAATAGTTTAACATGTGCCATTACAAAAATAAAATGAAAAATTTGCAGCCTCCTTTGCCCTAATTCCTGGATTTCAACTCTTTCAGCTGATTGTTGACTATTGATCTCCATAGTTCTAAATAACATACTTGCATTGCTTGATATTTTTAAAGATTTAGTACATTTTCACCTAACCACATGCTCACTTACTTTCTCACTCCTGTTTTATTACCCAGTATTAATAAATGCATTGTTTATGTGTTTACTTTTCTCCACTTAAGTTAACCTTAAACTGTCCTCTAAGTACTGTTTACCAATGTCCTCTGAATGCATTCAAACATGGTAATAGTCTATCTGTTTCATATTCTTCAGAGTCTCCTAGAGCCTTCTGATCTGCTAAATCCAGATTTATTTTTCTCAGCCTATACCACAGATATAATTGTGGGCTTTTTCTTCACCTTCATCCTGAAGATTCCCTTCACTTTTCCACTTTTTTGGGGGGGGCAGTGTATTTGTTCCTTTTGGGATTATTCTTTTATTTTTGGAAATGTATCTTTCAGGAGTTTCTTGATAAAAGTACGATGAGGTAAAATGTTCAAGACCTTGCACAAAAAGGCTTCATTCTATTTCAATATTTAACTGGTAAGTTGGCCTAAGAATAGAATTCTAAACTGGAAATCATATTTCGCTTACATTTTCTAATTTTTACCAACATTATTCCACATCTCTTAGAATACAATGTTGCTCCTGAGAAGTTCAATGATATCTTAATTCCAAATTTCTCATATGATAACTCTGGAAAATTTCAGGGTCTTCTGTTTCCAGTGTTATAACATTTCAAATTGATGTGAACCTTAGTGTGTGCCAATCTTAATTGATTATGTTGGTGCTTACTAGTTTAAATATCAAAAGCCATCCTTCAGTTCTGAAAATTTTCCTTGATATATCTCTTTGATTTCCACCCATTAGTTTTCACTTTTTCTGGGACTCCCATTCTTCAGATACAAGACTTCTTAGCATGGTCTTTTGTTCTTGTTGTTGTTTTTTTTTGGTACCGGGGATCGAACTCGGGTCTTTGCGCTTGCGAAGCAGGCGGCGGAACCACTGAGCTAAATCCCCGGCCCATTTAGCATGGTCTTTTGATTTTTCATCCTTTATTTTCCATCTTTAGTGACTTACTGTTCTATTTTCTGGGCAAAATTTCCACCTTATCTTCTAATCTTGGAGATTTGCTTTCTGCCAATACATAGACTGAAGTCAACTCAGGCAGTAGAGCTATAATTTTTAGTGCTGTGCCATGGTAGATCAGAGGGAGACACCTGTGACATCTTTAAGTTAAACCAGAAGATGACACAATGGATATCACGCAAGAGCTGGTGAAGAGAAAAATCCAAAGTTCCTGAAAATATGAGTAGGTTTTTGAATGAGAAAATAAGCAAACAAAAAATTGGAACCAGAGGAAGAACCAAAGATCCCAAAGCAGCCAAGTCCCAAAAATCTCCGAAATTTGCCCCTTGTCTGAAGTGTTCTATAGAAACCTATATTGATAACTAAATCGCAGGACACTTACAGAATGTTTGTTGGAAGTGAGACAGTGTTGGAGCTTCTGGGGCGATGTTGTAGAAATGGGTTTTTAGAGCGCCACTGACCAGGAGATTATAAGCCAGATCAGTTATGTTGATGCCCACAATTGCAAAAGAGTACCTGCAAAGTGAGAAATGCAAAACCTGTGGTGTTGTGCACATGGGAAATAAGCACTTCAAAATGATAACCTGAGTTTTAAATTCTTATTAAACCTTCAGACTGGCAAGTGGCCCTTCCCTCTCTACCCTATCAAAATGTTGACTTTTTAAATTTATCATCAAATTTCAGTAATGTGTAGGAAGAGAATTGAGAATTCATATACTTTGATTTTATAATTCCATTTCTAGATATATATGATAAAAAATAGATAAAGTGGACAAAAGATATTCATTACAGTATTACTTGTAAAGGCAAGATGTAGAAACTTCTCAAATATTCTAAAAAAGACTACAGAAATAAATTACGGTAATCTCATATAACATATTATAGCTGATTAAAACTATATTTTTAAGAATTATTTAAATAGGATATAAAATGTTATGGATAGAACAAGCCAAGTTCTATTATATATATACATATGTGTATGGAAAAAAAGGCCAGAATGAAATGTCACACAATATTAATATGAGTTTACAAGAGTAGTAAGATTATGTTGATTTTTTTTGGTTTACTTTCCTATATTTTCTATAATAAATCATCTATTGATTTTTAAATGAGAAAAATTTAAATAAGTATATTAACACAAAGAATATTTCCTAGGCCCTTTTCTATATGTCTATTAAAATGAAAGAAAACTGAGCTCTTAAATTTTCTCTAGTATAACTCCAGTACACAAATATCTTTGGATGACATAGATATTATTTTAAAAGCTTCTGAAATAAATTTTTAGCTAATAGCCCAACACTTGATAGCAATCTTTAAGGGAAAACTACCAAGTGGAAGTCTAAATAATGATTTCTGAAAATTAGTTCCATACAGTCATAATTTTCTATATCTTATCAGTTGGTTACAAAGTAGTATGATATAATCAAACAAATAAATTTAAAAACATAATTAGTCCTTTTAAAAATCCAACTCAATTATATATTTTCATCAGGACAAGTGGAATTTCCTCCCATGTCATCTTTTATAGTACTCTTAGAACATTTTTGTTTTGTCTGGCTCAGACTGATAATCTATATATGAGATCTCACACTTACCCAATTGCTTTATCCATCCTTTTCTTCTCCCATTCTGCTTTGCTGAATTTGCTGGATGAATGAGTAAATAAATAAAGAAGCACATTTAATCTTTAATCAGTACTTACTCTCTTAATGCTTATGTTAAAATTGTTAACTATATGGAGAGATGTCTGTATTCCAGTTATCCAATATTAATCAATTTGAATATTATGAATTTTAAGAGTTACAATACATTTTAAATGGAGTTCAGCAGTGGAGTATTTAAAGCCTTGCTATTTATCTCCTATTTACTTTGGTACAGCAGTGGGAGATGTGTTAAAGGCCAAATGTTACAATTCTCCATTACGTTATCATTAATTATCAAGCACCACCTCCTCTGTGAATGCTTGCCCGGCATCTGTCTCTCCTCTAACTAGATGTTGCCTCACATTCTCATGATTCCCTGCTGGACTTTGTTTCACTTATCTCATGGCACTTATGCTACTCAGCTTTATTTGTGATATCTGTCTATTTGTGATTACTTAGAGGACATACGGCTCAACAAGACTGGATCCCTTTCTTCAGAAAATACAAAGAGCAAACTTAAAAACTGTCAGATGCCAAATACAAGTTTGTTGATAAATAAATATATGAGTTAACAAAAGGAAGGAAGAGAGGGGGGAGGGAGAGAGGGAAGGAGGGAGGGAGGAAGGAAAGAAAGGTTGGTTTTAAAAAATTCTGTTCCAACAAGTCCTATGTCATTTCCTCTGGCTATGCTGTTAGTTAAGCATTAACTGGCCCATTTTATCTGTTTTATAATTTGACCTTCGGAATAAGATTGTTTGAAGGAACAGTTCTATCACAGATGCATTCTGAAAACACTGCTTTACATTCTATTATTTTGTGTACTTGTGTATCCACTCCATTCCCATTCTGCGTCAAGTTGCCAGTGTCTTGTAGGTGGCAACAACATACTGCTCTTCTTTGCAAATGATACAACTTTTACTTAGTGTTTTACACTGAAAATTGTACTTTAGCATAAAAATTTAAAACTAGAGTTATGCATGGCTTCCATCTAAGTAGGAGCAAGTTCCCGATGCGTGGCAGACACCGCATTACAAAACATGCATGTAATACACACTGCACATAAGCGCAAAAACATGCAAATCTGACATGAAACACATGTGCATTCTCTGCAAACAACTGTCTGTAATTTAAAGTAACTGCTTTTAATTCATGTTAAAATTGGCCACCTGTTTTTTGGGGGGTTTTTTGGTGCCAGGGATTGAACTCGGGTCCTTGCGCTTGCGCAGCGGCTGCGAAACCACTGAGCTAAATCTCCAGCCCTGGCCACCTGTTTTTAAAGTATAACCTCTAATCAACAAACCACATAGTCAAAGAAGCATCAGGAGATTTTTGCCTTAAAAGACTCATATGCAAAATAAAAAGAAGTATGTGTAAATTTTTTTAAATGTAGAAAATTATAAACATCTATTTTCTTTTCAACACAGTTTTTTTTAAGTACATAGTGTCTCTATATTTATTAAATTAAATCTTTATCTACAAGGAAATGCCAAATGACCTTCACTTATTTGATTACTTATAGGACACCGGAGGCTCAAAAAGATTGGATCCTTTTCTTCAGGAAAAACAAACAGCAAACTTAACTTAAAAAAACTAATAGTCAAAATTTTCCTCTTAAAATTAAATCTACTTTGATCCTGAAAGTTACTTCTGGACTCTAAAGATGGATATTTTCAAGAGTAGTAATATGTCATGCTTGTTGAAAACCAGACAGGAAAAGAGCTTTCCTTAGTAAAATACTGACTTCTCACTGTTGAACAGCTGAAATATTCAGGGTCTGACAGAACCAAAGTTGATATCACAATTGTTTAATATATTTCTTTCAGACATCAGTGAAGACGGATAGTAGATTTTGAAAATATTCTGATTTGTATATAGTGACATTTACAATCAATTTGAAATAATTAATACCTGAGCTTCACTTCTTCAATTGCATTGTAGCTTGAGGGATACAACATGCAATTTTATCTTCATGCCTACACTCATACACAAAACACACACACACACACACACACACACACAAATGCCAGTCTTTTCTTAAATAAAGAGTCACAAATTCTCAACTTTTCTCTGATGGCCGACCTAGGAAGTACCAATATAAAATCTTTCTTTGAAACTGACTCAGAGACAAAATTAATCTCCCTTCAATAGTTAATCAAAAAATATTTTAAGATTGTGGTTACTTTCCAAGGACCATGGAGGATTCATGTCTTCTGGCTGATGTTCCTCCAGGAAAGGCCACCTGAAAGCACACACAGACTCAGCCAAATTTAGAGAGTTCAGATTCTCTATACCACAGAAATATAGAATTCAGAAGATAGAGTTTAAAAATGAAAATAGCTTGATTTTAACCATGGAATATACCAAGAAACAGTTAAGAGATTGTCTTAAGTAAAATCAAATGAACTTTTCTTAACTTATAAAGAATTTTAAATTAAAATTTAGGAAAGTATGATGTAATTTAATAACTCTTAGACAAATGAAGCTAGAATGAGTATAATAGTAAAGTGGAGAAAAAACAAGTAAAGTTTTTCTTGAATTTTGAGAATCTTATGGTAAAAATTTATTTGTTTAGCCAACAAGAACACTAGCAACTAACCTACCCCGATGCTGAGAAGAAAAAAAAAAAAAAACCATACAAAAACATGACTACAAAATAACAGAACTCCTTATAAGAAGAGCTACTAGGGGGCCAGGGATTTAGCTCAGTGGTTTCACCACCTGCTGTGCAAGCACAAGTACCTGAGTTCGATCCCCAGTACCAAAAAAAAAAGAAAAAAAAAAGAATTATAAGAAGAGCTTCTAGGGCCGGGGATTAAGTTCAGTGGTGCCGCCACCTGCTTCACAAGTGCAAGGTCCCTGAGTTTGATCTCTGGTACCAAAAAAAAAAAAAAAAAAAAAAAGAAAGAACAAGAGCTACTAACACACACATACACACACACACAGGGCATGCATGTGCACACGCACACACACACAAACTACTATTTATAATAATGAAATTAGAAATACATTAATAGAAGAGCAAATTTTCTCCATCCAACAGAATTCCCATATAAAATATCTTTCTGGGAGATCAGGTAATGTGTGGGGAGTGGCTTGCCCTATAGGTGAAGGGTTCAAAATGTTTCTCCAACCAGTCACAGCGATGGCTGAAGAAAGGCTCTAGATTAGTATAATCTGCTTTTCAGCTCATTAAAACACAGTCCCCAAATAATTAACTATGTTAGATAAAAGTTGGGAAATGTTTGTTTTGGGAACATTTTCAATAATCTACATTTCTGTTAAAAATTCTAAATTTCATTTTAAAACAAAAGCAATAAAACACAAAAGCAAACCAAAATACCTTATTTCCTCTTTAGCAATATCCCTTCATGTATTCAGTTAAAGAAAAAAATTTAGAAACGTAAATGAAAAGGGAAATAATTTAGGATCTTGACTTAAAAACAAACAAACAAACAAAAAGCCTCAGTAATTTCAGACTTTTCTCACCTGGTCACTGACTTCATGAATTCCATTCCCTCTGCCATTCTCCCCCTCACTTGCTTGTCTCTCTAACTTTCTCTCTCAGGACCTGTCCTTTCATACCTATTTCTCAATCTTTCCGGACACTACTGACATTATGAATACTCTTGAATGGTGCTGCTTTGCATCCTAAATCCTGGAAAATGCTGGAAGTTTTAACCCTATACAGTATTTATCAAAAGGGCTTGTTTTAAGAGCTTTAAGTCTCATTTTTGGTGGGCTGACTCTCCTGATAATCTCATCTATAGATTCACATATGAGATGATCTTTACCTAATCTAGTAAGTCTAATCTATCTTTTATTTTCAACAGTTACCTGCATTTTGGATGAAGAGAGTCAGAGAGGACCTGCTGAGCTGCTGTAGCATCCCTTTCCGCAAAATACCTGGAGTTGGAGGGAAAGAAAACCATAACTCTGTACCTGTTGAATACATTCACTTTAACCCAATTTGAGGTCATTTTGGATTCAGAGGTGGACATCGGTATGAGATTGTTACTTGTTTCAGTTCTTCCAGAGAACAGCTTTTCATAATAGATGTTTTCCAAATATAACATGGTAGGGTAGTTGTGAGACCCATCTAGATCTAGGAATGTACTCCATAGATTCGAAGATGTAGTTATGAATTTTGCTCTTCCTCAGAAAGCCAAGTATATTTTTATCAAGGGTTATAGATAAAGGGGTCAAGTAACTCAGCAGTTGAAAACCTCAGAAAGCAGAAGCCTGGGAGAAGAACCTGATGAGAGGCTGTGACAGCCGAAAGGCAGAGAGAGAACAAATTCCAGGAAGTGTGCAAAGCTGCATTTCAAACTCTTCTTGGAGGATATTCATTGAGTGCTTGGATTCTGGATGAACAGAAAAATGCGAATGAAGCTTTCAGATGTTAAAAACTTAAAATTGTTTTTGGGAGAAAGAGAACAATGAAGTTTCCTAATAAATAGAAAAACTCATAATCAAAAATACTTCATACAAAGTACTTCTAAAGATAATAATAAAATAAAACTGTAACATATATTACTGAATTTGATGTGTATATTATTTTATACACAGAACTGGGGACATAGCTCAGTGGCACAGTGCTTGCCTAACATGCATGAAACCTGGGTTTGATCCCTAGTGCCACAATAAGAAAAAAGCATAAATCTGGGCTGGGGGTTTAGCTCAGTGGCACTGCAGTTGCCTCAGAAGTGCAAGGTCCTGAGTTCAATCCCCCGTACCAAAAAAAAAAGCATAAATCAAAGGATAAAACAAGCTATTGAATATTCCTTCAGAAATTTTCAAACCAATCAGCAATTTTAATACATATGTCTATGATTATTAATGGAAGAGTTTCATTTCATATTTTTGCTGGTCATCTGAGTTTCTTCTTTAATGTTTTGTCTGTTCGTATTTTTGGCACAGTGATACCTAGAACCATTATCAGATAAGACAAATAATATATCAACTATAGAACATTTATGTGAGTATCAATCTCGTCTCATTTTACTTTGTTTATGGTGCCATCTCACAGAGTTTTTCCATTTTAATATATGAAATTTATTATTTTTCACTTGATGCTTTTTGTTTTGGTATGTCTTTAAGAGATCCCACTTTACTCAGATATCTTAAAGATTTCCTCTTAAATGTTAGACAGACTTGTTTTTTACTTCTAATGTGTGAGCTGAGGTGAGGCAGAGATTTTCTAAATGGAAGGCCAATTTTCCCAGTTCCAGTTGTTCAAAAGCTCGATCTTTCTCCACTACTGTAATACCACCTTAGTCATTAAAATCTACTTTCTATTCAGTCACATTACACGGGAATGTAGCATTTCAAACATTTTGTAGAAAATGAGTGATGATTAAACTTCCTAAATTTAAAGAGAAAAATCTAGGGGGAAAATGAGATATCACCAAAAATGGCTAAGGTTTAGTTTCTTTTAAAAACACATCACTCTCCTCACTAAAGGGTGATGTCAAGACACAAGAACCAACTTGAAATGATTTCCTTTGACTTGAAAAATATTGATTAGAAATGACTGAATTTAAGCAGGAAGAAATAATGAATAGAATTAGTTGAATCACAGTAAATGTATAAAATACAGGAAGTTAAACAATAATTAAAAATAGAGAGAGATTAAAAAAAAATTTAATCACTAACAAGGGAACAAGGGCACCAACTCGACTTTAGAACTGGCAACCAAATAGAAAAGCTGAGCCTGTGTAAAGTCTAACAGTATTAGAAAAGCAGTTTTTGCACAATCTATTAATGGTTCAGTGAAGATTAGGGAAGGAAGAAAGGCTGATGATAGATGTACAAGGAGCCATCAATCTATGACCCCCTCATCCCTCTCAGCACAGGGGTGAGAGTGGTGGGACTATGCAGGCCTCTCACTGTGATGTCAGCTTGAATCTCCTAAAGCCTTTCCAAATGCCTCACTTTTCTGGAAATACAGGGGATGGGTAGAAGAACAAGCAATCAAGTCCAGACCATGGGACATTTTATAAGGCAACTGACCTGGAATCTTACCCAAGTTTGTGACACATGGGAGGGATCAAACAGAAGGGTCAGAGGAGACTGGTAATTTAAAAAGACTCAAGGGACATATGAATGAAGTGTAATGTGTAGATCTTATATGGGGCTGCATTCGAACAAAATCAGCCATAAAAAAAAGCCATTTTTGAGAGATTGGGCAATTTGAACGTGCACTGGATATAGATTGTTAGGAGTGATATGAAGTGATATTGATATTTTTTAGAGTTACATATTGAAATATGAGAAGTCAAATTGAGATAATCAGAGACTACCATGGGAACAAAGGGCAGGTGAACTCCTGGGTCCCAAAATCTGTTACTCATTAAAAGCATGATTTGCGTACTCTTCTGAGGCAGTCGAAATTTAAAAGCTGCTTTTGCAAACAAAAACAAAACCAAAACAAAAAACCACTAACAATTCATTTGGGCCTACAATTGTCCAATGGGTAAAAAAAAAACACCTTGACCTTTGTTATGGTTTAGATCTAGATGTTCCTCCAAACTTTTATGTGCTCGGAGGTGGGGCTTTTGGAAGGTGATTGGACCATGGGGGTGCTATACTCATTAGTGAAATCATCCATTAATTGAGTTCAGCAGCTGAGTGGGCTGTTAAGAGGTGGGGCCTGCTTAGAAGTGAGCCACTGGGACTGTGAACTGGAAACATACATTTCCTTCCCTGGCTTCTCCCTTCATGCTCTGCTTTCTGGCCGCTGTGATGTAAACAGCTTTCCTCTGCCAGGCTCTTCCACCATGCTGTTTTTCCCTTGAGGGGCCAACAATGTATGGACTGACATCTCTAAAACTGACCCAAAATAAACCTCTATTCTTTTAATTTGTAGATGACAGGTATTATGTCTCAGCATCAAGAAAAGTGATTAAAGCATGCTTTATTTTGTATTTGTCTCCTTTATTAACTTAAAACTTTGGGTCAGATCCCTGCTCAACAGTGCATATTGCTATGTCAATCAATTAGGGAGTGTCTGTCTAAAAACTGGCATAGGAAGTTAGGACTGAGATAATCAAGGTAAGAGATTTAGAGACATTCAAGTACAAACAAATGCCCAGAAGTCTCCAGTCATTGCCCTAAACATAGCCATCACCTTGAATTCCAGCAGAGCCTTCACAATACTGAGAATGCCCTAAGCAGAGAAAATTGTCTCATGGAGACTGGATAAGAACTTCTCCAGAACCTCCTTAACAAAACCAGAATTGAAAATGATCAACCAGACCCTAACCCACCCCAACCCCATAAAAGTTGACTCCTTTCCTTTGTTGGAAGGTCAGTTTGATTTTCCTCATCAGAGCTGTGCCCCCTTGAGCTCCTCAAGCTGAAGTCCTTTCCCCACTTTTTCTTGCTTCTTCTTTCTAACAAATCAGCCCATGCCTCTCACTGACATATTCAGAAATGCCTTTCTGTGACAAGACATCAAAGACCTGCCTGGGCTGAGTTGAGGTCCCCATCTCCTCTTTAGAGTGACCCCCTCAGATTGTCTAGTAGCAAAATGACAAACAGTGTGGGATTTTCATTAACGGAAGTGTTGCAAGTATTTCAAACTTGGACAATTACTGAATATGGGTTATCAATAGAAGGGGATATTTTACTACCTTCCTTATGTTTTTACATATAGTCTAAAGTTGTTCAAAATAAAAATTTTTAGAATATGCCTCAGATTTCGAAGATTCTGGTAGCTTTTAAAATATTATGAACCTGAGTTATCTCTCAGAGGACCTGAATGTTTTCTTTGAATCTTTTGGGAAGTGACTTTTAAAACTAATAACTCCATTTTGGTCATTTTCATATGAGAAGTCCTACCTGGTTACAATATCATTCTAACACTTAACTATTTACTCTCAAAGGACTTGGTTTTTTGAAGTCTTTTGGGAGGTGATTTTTGTAACTAATAACTCCCTTTTGTCTTTTTCATATGAGAACTACCTGGTTAGAACATCACTCTAACACTTAACTATTCTTCATTTTACTTACTGCAAATTGTACAGTCCCAGAAGTCCCATTCCTCGAAAATCTGTTTTAGGATCATCACCTTGGAAACCAATTTCACACCACTGCTTAGAAATCCGCGATTCCAGTGGAGTATTGGGCTTCAAGAATCGCCATAGCTAGAGACAAAAGAGAATTACCCTGTTGATATACATACATAAATACTCTCTCCTGTTGCTTCAGATTTTGTAAAGTACATTATTAGAAGAGGTTTTACAAAGCGGAATATATGCAAATATATTATAATTAAAAATGGGATCATCTTTCAATTATCTATTGCAGCAGTTCTCAAAGTATGGGCCGAGGGTGTGAGGGTGATCTGGCTGTGGCGTCTATTGCCCCACTGATTGAACATCAGGGTCGATTCAGCTGATCTGGCTGGCCAGGCAGGTGTCCCCTTCCTCCCTCACTGCTCCGTGTGCGTCCCTCCCGAAGCTGCAAAGTTGAGGTTGAGGAGGATGACCACCCTAGGTCAAGGGTATACAAGTAGCTGTGCTTCCCTGCGAGAACCTTCAAACGAGCTCTCAAAGTATGGGCTAAAGAATCACTAGAGATACTCAAAATCTTTTCAGCCTGGGTGGCAACAAAAACAACACTGTTTCATAATAAAAGTAAGAGGTTATTTGCCCTTTCACTCTCATCTTAGAAGTAAACAGTGAAATTTTCCAGAGGCTGCACAACAAGTAGAGTTGTCCTTGCTCTGAAGGCAACAGAGTGTGGGCTTATATATTTTAGTGCTGTAAACTTTTTGAATCAGGCATGATAACCCGCCTCCCCAAAGCTATTTGGAGCTATCTAAAATATTTAAGAGTAGAAAAGGAAAGGGAGAACAAGGAGAAGTTTGAAGTCATCTATTATTCAACTCCTCAGAAAATGCCTTTCTAACATTATGTCAAAACTTTTAGCAGCACTGTTAACAAAAAGAAAAGTGGACTGACCAGAGTATCATTTCTTAGGGCTTGGCTAAAAAAGGAGTGAGAGTCAATGTTATCATATGGCTGAATAAAGGAATATCAGTAGTCCTCATTATAACATGAAATATATTATCTTTATAATATATTATCTTTATAATATAATATCTTTAAGAGTTACCTCAAAGAATTTTAATTAAAATCAATTATCTACTAATGGGAAAATATAAACTCTAAATGTTTTACTCTTCACTGCTTAATACACTGGTTTAGGTAATTAAATGCTTCCTAGAAAGCTAGATTTAGCTTATCTCATGACTTGACAGAGATTGAGATCGATAGTTGTATAAATATGTAAAGCTTCAAGTATTCTTCCTAATATACCTGGACATATAAGCATATTTACTTTTTAGGCTATAAACATTTAATGTCATATCTTCACTATAGACACAGTATAAACATAAATGTTATATTTCCTTATTACTATTTCAAAAATAATTCAACTTCTAAATTGCCTATTATATATTTTATGGATTTTAAAGCTTCAACTGAGCAGTAATACAAACTTCTCTGCTTTATGGTGAACTTCCACATATCTGGGATAGTATAAAACATAATATTTGATGACAGAAAATACTAAAACATTAAAAATTTGCAGTTCATTTTCTTTTATTATAGTTATTTTAGACACATCTAAATTACTTACTACTGACATTATACAATATTTTATGTCAGTACCATAGTAGGTAAATTCAATTTATCTAAAGGGCAAGAGAAAAACTTTGGAAAAAATAAAGTAAATCTATTATGCTTGAAAGCAAAATATCAAACATGGGCATACAAAATCTCCTTTTATATATACATAGAAGAATTAGTACTCTGCACCCATAAAACCAGCAACTTTATCAGAAGAGATTAGGTAATGGGAGACCAGATAAAATCCACAGGAAAAAGTAACTTTTTAAAAATCCTTTAGGAATTGATTTGATTACTGTCACAATGGAGACAAGCAGAAAAAAGAAAACAAAATGTAAAGTTCTTAACATTCATTTGAATAATAACTTGAAGTAATCTCAGAGTCTACACAGTTAATAAATACCTGGTTTCATCCAGGTAGTGAAATAACATGGTAAAAACAAGCATTTCACTTCACAGGTAGGTTATAAACCTCATTCATTAGGTAGAAGAGTAAAACATTTGAATAATAAAATGCTTTAAAAAGAAATTCCATTTTAATAATTTCATGTATCATGGCAGACTAGACTAATGGCTAAAATATGTCCTCATTAAATTGTTAATCCCATTTACTTTAGAAAGGGTCCCTTTCCTAGAAGATGAAAGCCAATTGTGCTGAAATCCTTATATGAAGTACAACTCTGTGTATATTTCCTGTAAGAAGTCTTGAGGTATTTCTCTTCTCATGGACTGGCTTTATTCTGAAAAAGTAAGTGTAGGAGGTAGGGTGCCCTTGCAAGGTAAGGTCATTTCTTGCACCAGGAGGCTGACTTTAAATCTGATTCAGGTGATAGGCTTTTAGTGGGGGGCTCTGAGAAGACTAGTCATCTAAGACCCTGCTACTGGGAGTGACGTTATTACAAAGCCATCTGCCAAATGCTGGCGATGGGGCGAGGGAAGTGGGGTGGGAGTGGGGCACTGGGGAGGCAGCAGGTTAGGAAGAGTGCTACCGAGACAGAAGATGAGCTTCAGATGTGGGAGCTGCACTCTGAGCCAGACTGTCATCCAGCCTGGGCTGTTCTCTTCTAAGCCTTTCCACAGCCTACTTGGACACTTCTGTCTTGTCTCAGGTCTCCAGCAGAACAGAAAGGGGGAGGCCATTCATTCACCCTTGGGCCAGAGCATTCATGGAAAAGCTTTTCACAGTGGCCACCAGAGGACTGTGTTTTTCCCTCAGAAAGGAGAAGAGATGAGGTCTGGGTTATACGATTTCTATTAAGTGCATGAATCCACCTAAAAATTTGCCTTCATTTTAATCTGGTTAGAAAAATTTTAATAGAAATATCTACTTGGATAACTCATATAACAGTGCTATATGAACATGGTGATATTATTCACCCTAATCCCAGCCTATGTTCAAATGATGATAAAATCTGGATTTTTTTTTTTGTACTTTAGGACTGTAAGTAGCAATGTTGATAATTCCCTCCTCCTCTTATAAAGCAAAACACTTGAACAATTTGGCAATGTATTATATGAGCTTATAAACCAGGGGCCAGCAAACTTTGTGAAGGACCAGATGGTAAATATTTTGAGCTTTGTAGGGCATATGGTCTCTGCTGTAATTAATTCACTTTGCCTTGGTAGTAGTTTAGCAGCCAGAGACCATACAAAAATGAGTTCATGTGCCTTTGTTCCAGTAAAACATTACTTATAAAAATATGCTGGCAGGGCTGGGGATTTAGCTCAGCGGTGCCGCGCCTGCCTTGAAAGTACAAGGTCTTGAATTTGATCCCCAGTATTGGGGGGGAAAAAAAGAGGGTGGCAATCCAAACTTGGACCACAGGTCTTGGTTTGCTGACTCTTGCTCTAAACAATTTTTGTGCAGTAGGTAGCAAGAGTATTGTTATCCACCTTTAAAATGAAGAAGCTTAATCACAAGCCATGGGTCAGCCCCTGAAAACACAAGGCATGGTTTCTCTCTCAAGAAATAATTTAGTGTGGTAGTTAAAAGCCCTTTCTAACTATGTGAGTTTGCACAGTCACTTAATTGCTTGGCCTCAATTTCCTCATCTGAAAAATGGGATAGCAGCAGTATAGCACAAGTTTATTGTGACAACTAAATGAAAAATGATGTAAAACACTTATTGTGATGACTAGTACATACCAAACACTCAGTGAATGCTTTATTATTACTGCTTTTATCATTATCATACTTGAAATGTATATAAGCTCAAGAGGAGAATAAAGATCCCACTCCCATGTTTGCTTGGAGACTTCAGTGAATAATGATTTAAGAAATGAGCTGGTTTCCACTGTAAGAATAATGGGGAGCAGAGATAACAGTGTCAGTGAGTTCCCAGGAATAGGGGTTTACACAGCCTATTCTAGGTCATAATGACTGATGACACATGGTGGAACTATTTAGTGGGGATGCAAAAGAAGCAGCTTAGGAAATAACTTTGGAAAGGGGCCAAAATGCCATGCTGAGGTCCATGGGTTTTCTACTATAGGACATAGGAAAATTGAGGTTTTTAATTTAGGGAATACTATAACTCAATCTGTGTCTTAGGAAAATCCCTCTAGCAGTATTTTAGAAGATAGAAGGGAAAAGTCTAATGGCTAGTGGCAGAATTACAAGGCTATAATAGCCCAAGTTGGAGAGGATGGCTACAATAAAACAATGGACTTGAAAAACATTTGAGAGATAGTTTGGGGTGTTCTATGGATAAGATTTAGGGATTTCTGTAGATGCAGAATATATCCCAGTTAGATTGCAAGCCACTTGAAGGCAGAAAAGATGCCTTTCTTCAAGGCGCCTAACTCAGTGGTGGACAGTCCTGGCTTTAATATGAATTACATATGTGAATCAGAAACTGGACCAAAATGCTTGTTTTCTCACTTCTAAAAATAAAGATAATAAGCATTACTTTGCTCACCTATCTGTGACAATCAAAATGATAACACATACATACTGAAACCATAAGGATTGATAAAATAATTTTATAATGGTTCTTAACATGTAGCTAATATCCTACAGTAACTCATGAATTCACTCGGGTAAATGGAAACCTACCGTGTCCCAGCACATATACAACAGATCATCTAAAGATGTTACAGCAGGCACCCAAATGGCATTAGTAATTCTCAAGGCATCTCAGCCATTCTAATGAATTGTTCCTGCACTGCAACCAGCCTGCTAATTATCACCTCTTTTTGCTTTCATTCATCTCTTTATTCCCACTGTTGTTGAGCTTGACTACCTCCATCAGAAAATGGTCAGGAAAAAAAAAGGAGATAGAATTCAGCTAGTAGGTTAGCTAAAACTAAACAGAGGAAAAAGGTAGAAGAAAAACTATTGCCAAGAATGAGGCTTCTTTAATTTTTAATGACTCACATCAGATCTAACACTAATTAGTAAAGACAAATGATTATCTAAGTACTTCCATACACAAAACATAAACTCATTCACACAAAAAACCAGTTTTGTTACTGTTTTTTGAATTCTAGGAAGAGGCAAAGAAGCACTCTCATCCTAAAAAGCATCTATTTTCAGAAGGGAATGTATAATACATTTCAGATAAGTAGTTCTAAAAGTTAACAGATTGGTTTCAATTTTTTCTTTGGTAATTCCTTTAATTCAAAATTCAGTTTTTTTGGGGGAAAGTTTTAGTAATGGCACATAGTACACATCAGATCTTATAGTTCTTTTGTTTTGTTTTATTTTTTCCAGTGCTGGGGATGGAACTCAGGGTCTTGTCCATGGTAGGCAAGGCAGTTTAATACTGAGCCACATACCAACTCCCTATAAGATTTTTAATGTTTTTCTTTCTTTTCTTTTCTTTTCTTTTAAGGTGAGCCAGGATATTTATGATTCCATGTTATATTCCCACAGTTTTAATATGCCAAATATAAACCTTTACCTCCTCTTTGAACATTCAAGTTACATGAATAAATAATCAACATTATGGTCTTGGGTAATTTCCCTAGAGGGTTACTGCTTAAGCAGAAATGAAGTTCATCTTTGATATGTATTAAAAGTCATAAGTGAAAACCCCAGGACACTCTTTCACAAATGCTTTTCTCCTGTTGACTTTCAACACATGAGAAACAATATAAACATGAGGCAAATCTGAGAGCCCTCTGAAGTCAACTCTGATGTTTTCTCTGATACCAGAAGTAAACTGGCTCTCAAGCTAACTTCTCATATGAATTTTCTGGTGAAAAATTTACCAGCAACCTCTGAATCAGCAGGAATACTCTCGGCCTTATCAACCAGTTACAATGCCCATGTTTTACTCACCCATACGTCCCAAACATCTAGAGTGCTGCTGGGGCCATGGCAGGGGCATGCAAACATCAGCTGATGAGTGAAGTAATAAACTACAAGGACCAACCTTCAAAAGCATTTCTTCATGTTGGGGATTATCAGAATCATAGGGCTCTCTGCGCAGCTTTTCCACATCTGCAATAAGATTTCTGTAGCCCACAATTTGCAGAAGGCAAGCCTGAAGAGAAATTCCCAGCCTAAGGTGTTCAAGAAGAGAAGAAATACACACAAAGAAAAACAAAACATGTATGTTTGGCATTTGTCCACTTGACATGAGGAAATAGATCTTTTCATATAAATATAATAGTCAGGAAATTGCTCAAATGGGATCCATTTAATAAAGGCACAAGTCTTAGTGAAGCTCTGCATGGATAGTTGTATAATCTGGTTAAATCTTTCTCTCATTCTGGCTTTTTCTTAAGATGAATAACAAATGTGGCTTAAAAAACAAGGCCACTCTTTATGAAAGTAAGATGTAGAAATACAGTAATAATAGGTTCTTAGAGATCATTTAAGGACCCTAGGTTGGTAAATCAGAATCATTTCTGAAGGATAGGTACAAAAGTGAGGTTGAGGATGGGGATTATGGGGAGGAAGGGAGAGAGAGGGAGAGAGACAGAGACAGACACTGCCTTCAGGGGGTTTGCAAAAGAAATTTTTCAAAATGAAATGAAGCAAAGTATCTGCTTGAGAATATTTCTGGTAGTACCAAGAGAGAAGCCACAGCCCTATAAGATTTCCTACCACATTCCGAGCACTCTACTTGTCTGAATACTTTTTTTTTAAAGCTGAAACAATTCTGCTTTGCATATTACCCATGGTTCAAATTCTGTCCTCTAAGCAAATTTATTTCTACCTTTCCCCTGCCATGACTACTTATTTTAAGACAGCAATTCTTTCTTCTAGTCTCATTTCCAGGGCTTAAAAATATCCCCTATTCCTTCAATTCCCTCTCATGGGACATGGTTTTCAGATACTTTACTGTCTTGCTCATTGTCTGCTCTGAATGCATACTATTTGATTAACATCCCCCTGAAAACATATCAATGGAACAGGAAACAGTCTGGAAAGCAAACACACAGAGGACCATCACTTCTTATCAGAATGTGCCATACGGTACAATGGACTCTCTAAGCAGTCACATAATATTTCAAGTTTATTAAACAGGTGACTAATCACAAAGATCTTTTCTGCATAGAAACTACTATCATATAAATTATTCTTATTCTCCCTGTACTTCTTTGATGGTATTTTAAAATCTGAAGGTAGTAATTCATGTTTATTAATTCTTGCTAAATTCTTTAGTCATGTACTTTTTTGGGGTTCAAAAATAGTTTAACACAAGTAATTTCACCTGATACTGTCCAATATATTTTTGCACCTACTTTACTCACTCACTTTGAACATTTTTGTTGTCATGGTGGTGGTGGTGGTCATTATAATCACCATAACAGTGACATCATCTTCTTCTTGGGGGTAAATGAGATGCATAGAGGTTAAATCTAAAATTGGGGGGAACAGGTCTTAAAGGATCATATGTATCTACTCCAAACACAGAGGGCCGTGTTGGACAACCCAGGAATACAAAGCTTAAAGTTGTGTGTACAATTAAATGTCCTTTATAATTACTTATTATCATAGCCCCCAAAGCTAGATATTTAAATTTAGGAAAGGGTAACCAGAAAATCACTTTAGCAGTCACCCAGAAAATCAGTGTAACAGAGAAGAGAGTTACTTTTGCTGGGAAGAAAAAAAAAATGGAAGAAATAAGAGAAGGGAACAAAGAAAGTCATTTAGATTTTTCTCTATAGTAATTTTTCATACCACCACAAGTAGCACTTAAAATGTAATTAGAACAAAGTGAGGTTACTAGTAGTAATAGCTTGATAAGTTAAAAAGTTTTCCCCATCTCTAACCTCCTATTTCTTTGTTTTCTCAGAAAAATACTTAGTATTTTATATCAGGTTTTGTCAATATAAGTCTGGGGAGAAAGGGTTTGGAATCCAGATTGAGATGTTAAAATAACAACAATAGCTGGGGATTTAGCTCAGTGGTTCTGCCACCTACCTTGCAAGTGCAAGGTGCCGAGTTCGAGTTCGTTCCCCGGTACCAAAACAAAACAACAAAAAAACCAATAACAATAACAACAAGCACTACTACTTATAGCTTTTCTTAAAGGAAATCAAAAGAATACATGTAAAAGAAATGTTTTTAAGTACAACTTACAAAACTTTGATAGAACAGATACAGAAAATATTTGCTGTCATATCTAATTCAATCTCTTAACTATGACTATAGGTTTAATATATTCCTGATGCCCGGTTATAGTCTTAAATTTTTCATTCAACCGAATTTAGAGTGAATTGCCTTCTTATCACTTGCCTAGAGTAAAATATATGTCAAAAGGTTTAAAAAAATACATTCACTGCATAATTGTATCAATCTTAATGACTGACTAAGGAAAAGGCAGCTGATTCGCTGAAATGACTTCAGAAGAATGCTGTGGAGACCAGAACCAAGTGGAGTTTTTGTGATGAACCGCTGGTCAGTTAGTACCTAGAATCCTTCCAAGAGACAGACCTATGCCAAGAATGCTATATAATTCCCTTCAACTCCAGCTCCCTGTCCTTGGGAATTAAAAGCCTTCCCGAGTGGTAACATCTGTTCTCATGCATGCAGATCTAAAAGACAGTTTGATAGCTACCAACCTAAGGCAGTCTTTAAATATATCTGCATTTGTAATTTATTCTACCCAATGTCCTTAGCCCCACATTTTACTGAAAAATTCCTGTACTCAATGGAACATATAAAGCTAAATTTAAATGTCATGAACATTGCCAAGTGCATTTTAACATTTCCAAGATGAGCAGAATAAATTATAAAGTTTTAAAGTCTTCATAGAAAAACCATCTCTTCCTCCCACACATGCCTGTCTTCTTGACAAGCAGGTAGGAACTGCCTCCAAGATTATCAGCCTGTCATGAAAGAATATTCATGAGAGAACTGAGGGAATATTCTAGATGGAGCAGAATCAGCTTAGGTGCATTTATGATTTGAACATTTACAGTTAATGTAAAACATTGGCATTACATAGAGCATTGATGAATGAGTTTCCTTTATTTCCTATTCCAGTATCAAGGGCATCCATCCCATTTCTTATATTCATTGCATTCTGGATGCATAAGCATACACCACAACTGCCATTTACAAACATGAAAAAGCACGGGTTTTTCTTTACTCTTCATCTGAAAGTCAAAAGCTGCAGATGATTATTTCAGGAAGAGAAGGAAGGAGAGCAAGAGAGAGAGTGAAACGGAGAAAGACTAATACTAAATATGTGGCTATGTGGCTTAGGTTCTACATTTCTCACATATGAAACATATTCTTACTGTGGATTTATGTCAGGGTTAATTTTTTTCAGTTCCATGATGTCTTCTATAGTTTTTTCAATGGCATCAGGGTGAACACTCACTGAAGTCTGCAACAGCTGGAAAACATGTTCCAATCAGTTCCCCATTTCATCAATGGCTTAAACAGTAGACAACTGGGATGGAGGCTACAAGAACTTGTTTGAGCTTCTATATGAAGATCTAAGCTAAAAGCAAACATTGCTTTAGTGTACTTGAATTCTAATGAATTTGACACTTTCACGTTTAGGGTAGGGATAATTAAGTTATTTAATTAAGTTATTTTCCTAATTAAAGTTATTTAATGCAGAGCAGACATACATAAGGTTTTGGTTTTATTTTTACTATTGTCTTCTGCTTCAAGCTACTTATGTTGCAATGTTAAATTTTCTTTTCCTTGCCCAATTTAATTCCCTTTGTTAATGGACATCATGTTTATACTGAAGAGTCAGGCACATGGGAAGCTAGCCTTAAGGATGTCAAAATTAAATACTAACAGAAAATTACCAAGAATCTTAAAAAAGAAAACATTGTTTTCTTTTATGAGGATGTTCAACTATGTGCTATAAAAGCTAACATAGTGGCTTCTTTGATTTTATTCGGAAATCTGAAACATAAAGCTAAATGGTTTGGATATTGAGAAAATACTAGAGAATGATGCTCCTATAGTCAAGGAATTTTTAATGATTTTGGAAGAGGTATTTTAAAAAGATTAATTTGCCTCCTGGCATGGTGGCACATGCCTATAATCTCAGCACTTAGGAGGCTGACAGAGAAGGATCACCAGTAGTTCAAGGCCAGCCTGAACTACATAAGTGAGACTCTGTGTCAAAAAACCCCAAACAATAAAGGGTTAATTCAACAATGAAGCAATACATCTGCCTAGAAATTCACATGTAAACTGTATATTGGCTTATTATGGACAAATGATTCTCTTTTCTCAGCTTGCATTAGTTTCTAGTCAATAATATATTTTTGTTTCTTAAAATGTTTACTTTTCATAATATAGGTATGCCTATGAAAAGTTGCTGAAAAAACAAGGAAATAATTTTACGTACCTTACTTTTTGAATCCCTCAGTGAAGTTTCTGTTAAAGTAATAAAAAAGTCATTCAAAATTTATCCTGTATAATTGGTTTAAAATTACTATACTGAAATATAAAATTGTATCCTCAATTCCACCAATTAGAAGGGCATCAAAAATTTGAGCCCAGCCTGGGCAACTTACAGAGAACTTGTCCCAAAGTAAAATTTTTTAAAAAATGCCTGGGGACATAGCTCTTTGATAGAGAACTTTTGCATTCAAGAGGCCCTAGATTTAATCCCCAGTATTGTAAAAATGAACAAACAAAACAACCCTGCATTGTGTTTATTTCTTTGTATCATGCTTACCGATCTTCATGGTTCTTGAAGCTCCAGGCTTAGTACTGTAACAGATTCGTTGCAGTTCACATCTTCCAGTTAGCTTCCTCATGACAAATTTCAGACAGCGCCACAAAAATTTACAGTAAAAATACAGGCACACCTGGATCAACATTCTGTGAAAAATAAAAGACAGCACCCTTCCAATAGAACTCTGGAAGAGAAGAGCAAGCAGCCACCACCAGCAAGACAAAAAGCCCAGAAAAAAATCAGAGGTTAGATTCTGAGATTTGCAATCATAATTTCTATTCCTGTGTTACTTCATTTACAGAAGCTACATTTACTATGACTGCACACAGCTCCAGAATGCCCCGTTCTAGTAAGTTTGATATTCCAGCAAACTGACAGGGAAGCACTGGAATCTTTTATTTCCCATCTTCACCTAAAACATCTTGGAAATAAACCAGTTCCTTGAAAACATCATCTTTTAATATTGTTTGTGCTAAAATTGCCTCTTCTTAAGCAGGGGGTGGAAAGTCCTATCCTCTTGCCTGCATGGACAGCCTCTCAGCTCTCCCTTGTTGTTTTCAAGTGCCATTTATTTATTAGCCACTGCCATACCTATTTGTTCTTTCCCTTCCACCCATCTCTCCCTGTCCTCTGCTCTCACTTAGGCACTGTGGTCCTCTGTAGGACTTGGCTGTGTGGCCACCTACCTTCTCTGCTAACTGGTCCTGACACTCCTTGCATTTGCTGGAAAGCCTCCCCATGGACTCAGGGACCTCTGATTCTCCTCAGAGGTGAAAGCATTCTCTGATTCAAACTTTTCAGAAACTCTACCTTTACAGAAGTCTGTTCTTGATTTTGCTAAAGAAAGTTTTCTTTACTGTACACCCTACCTCAGTCCAATAACATCTCAACGCACTTAGGAATTAGTGATCAGACTCAAAATGACTCAACCTTGAGACAAAGTGGGCCTGTCACCTAGAACTTACATTCAACCCACTGTCCCTTCACACTGTGATTTCTAGGAGGCAAAATTATTTTAATTACTTCTTATTGGTATCATTTCTAAAAATTTTTTTTTCTCAAACGTTCATTGATTCTCCCCAGCTCTTAAAGTAATGTGATCCAGGGTCATTTAGATCAATTAAAGCAGTTAATCAACACTTTCAACAATGTAATCTATTCCCCAAATGAATCAATACATTGGCTGTCTTTATTTGTTCAAATTACTCTGATGCTAATAGCTTAGACAAGATTGTGTTAAAAATTAAAATTTTAACAGTCCTATTTCAATAAAGACACAGGGTCTATATCTCATAAATGCTGAGGGAATGGAAAAAGATAAACAAAGCTGGTATGTAATACAATGGAACACTTTTATGGGAATAAAATTATGTCCTAGAATATCTAATAATATGAAAAGGTCCATGATATGTTTATCAAGTAGAAAAAAAGTTACAAAGACATATGTATAGAATGACATATTTTTCCTTTAAAAAATAAAAAAATTAATAGTGATATTTAAACAAGGGTTAAAAAAGATAGGTCAGATACACAACAAAAATATCAGTAGTGGTATCACTAGATAATAAAGTTATCAGCAATTTTAATGTTTTATTAAGCATATTTTTTCTTCTATAATGTTTGTATTATTTTTTAAAAATGAAAGTTACAATGAAAATGAGTATGTATAAAATAACCACCAAAATCCAATATAAAAGTGCCTATAAATTTCTGTGTACTCAGTTACTATGAAATCAACCAAATTCTGCTGAAAGACAAAAAATTGATTTACTATACTGTAAAGTCTAACATTCAACTGTCCCAGTCAAATATGTTCTAAGATCTGTTAAGATTTAGGTTAACAGCTTCCAAAAAAAAGTAACCCTAAAAATAAATTTAGTGGAACATTTTAATTAGACAAGTGAGAGGAGTTATAAAATCTCAACTTGTTCTCTTGGAAAATGTTCATCATTTTCTGACTATTGGATAACTATGCCAGAAAAAAGATTTAGTGACATCTTTGTTAACTGGTCCCTAGCCAAATGGTAATGCTACTAATTATTGGGAGTCATTATCCTATTATAAATCCAAAGATAAAAGCTTTGCATATCTGTTTATGTGCAATTTTCTTTCTTTCTTTCCTTTTTTTTGACAGGATCTTGCTATGTAGTTTAGGCTGGCCTTGAACTCACTATGTAGCCCAGGCTGGCCTTGAGCTTGCAGCGATCCTTCTGCCTCAGCCTCCTGCCATGTGTAATTTTCCATCAAGTCAGCCTCATGTGGGCCAACACCTAAATGAAGGCACCTTTTAAATGTGTTTCAGGACTGTTGCACAGGTGGGACCACATTTATCAGGTTTTTGTAATACTAAATCTTCCTAGTGAAAAGGGTTCAGATGACTGTTTATGGAGGGCCATAGTCTGAGTCTTAAAAATCCCCCAAAGGCCCATGTGTTAAAGGCTTGGTTCCCAGAGAGGTGCTATTGAGGGCTACCTTTCAAGGGCCTAGCGGAAGCCCATCAGGTCTTGGGGGTGTGCCTTTTAAGGGAGCTGTGTGAACCCAGCCTTTCCTCATTCTCTTTTGCTCCCTGGCCATGAGGTAAATGATTTTGCTCTGCCAAGCACTTCTACCACATTGTGCTGCCTTGCTACAGGCCAAAAGCAATAGGGTCAACCCATCCAGAACTGGAACCTCCAGAACTGTGAACCAAAATAAATCTTTTCTCTTTCTAAGTTGATTATCTCAGTTATTTGTTACAGTAAGGGAAAGGTGACTAACACAGAGTGCATCTTTGTATATGCGTTACTTAGGGTACAAATTAAGCCACAGAATGTTTTTCCCATGACAAAGTCTATACAAAGATGTGTCTTGAGACTCAGAAATGCCAACCTAGCTGGCAGAGAGTGTTTTTATGTACAGTGATCTAGATCCCAACTATAATTTCTCCCACCAACCTCCTTGTATATAAGAAAATGCATGTGTTGTGGTTTTGCATCAAGGCAATTTTACATAAAAGGAGAAAAGAGATCCCATGCTCTGTTTGCTTTTATCTTTTCCTTTTTAAAACTCCCCTGGGGACGCTCATGCTGCCAAATATGGTGAACCCAGCAGAACTCCATACCGGGTGTTAGGGATGAAGCATCATTTCCAAGGGCTCACCATTCTGAATAGTATGACATCCCTCTCCCATACCTACAAAAACAATGTTACAAAGCATGAAAAAGAAATGCTCATTTAAATTATGAAATGACATTTATACACTGTTTACCCTCTGGAATTTCAAGGTCAGCAAACCTGATAATGCTATTTATTACCCAAAGTATAGTTTTCAAATTACCCTTACTTTTCTTTTCTTTCTTTCTTTTTTTTTTTTTTTTTGAGTCAGGGTCTCACTGTGCAGTCCAGCCTGGCCTCAAACTCGCTTGGCTCCTCCTGCCTCAGAATCCCCAGTGCTGGGATTACAGGTACACACCACCATGCCCAGCTGGCTCCCTTACTTTTCTAATGGGCGAACTTGCTGATAAATACTTCATAAAAGGCCATCTTGCTATGCTATAGGTAAATAAGCAGGTAGCTTCATAGCTAAGTATATTTTCTTGGTATGCTAATGCTATATTTTTCAATCCACATCATCAAATCAATGTATTGACAGATACACTTTATTTTTCATTTAGGTCATAAATCTGGTCCAGCAAGGGATGATCAGAGATGCAAACACCACAGTTACCCTCACTGTGGAAGTCTTATTTTGTTGACAGAAACAACACTCAACTTGCTTCCTCATGAAAGGACCAGATCAGCATAACCTCCATATACACAAGTCAGGATGACTCTACCAATACTTCCAGGAGCTCATGTCTTAAATCATTTGGACCTATGTTAGGCCCTAAATCATAAAGTTCATGGGAGAACTGCTGAAGGTCAAAAGCAGAACAATAAAAATAGTTAAATAGTTTGAGAGATTGTTAAATTTGTTTGGTATGTTTAACCTGAAAAAGAGAAACTTGGAAATAGACCTATAAATATTCAAGCTAATCAGTGGTGGGTTTAGGAAGGAAAGTAGAAAAAGGAAAGAAGGAAGATGGGAGGGGAGGAGAGGGAAGGGGGAATCTAAAATAAATTTAGATTTATTGTATCCTTTAATCTTTTTAATTTCCTTTGTTTTATGCCCTTATGTTTCTGTGTGCTTTCTCTGAGAGAAGGCATTTCAAATACCCCATGAGACAGATCTCATGTGCTTTCTTGTGCATAACTCTCATCCCATCATTCTGTTCCATAACCTCTCCACCACCTGAAGCCAGGTGATTGTAGTTCTTCTTGCCCTTTTCTGTCAACTTGAAACAGCAAATTAATAAAGGTGAGTTTTAACTGAGGCAATGTTTATTTGTTTTCTTCCTAATACTAGCTTAGCATTCTCAGTTCTGATGAAGGATGCTCAACTCACTACTAAGGTCTTAGAATTTTAAATTCTAATTATTAAATTCTGAAGATGAGGAGGAGAAAGCACTGATCATCATCTCCTATTTCTAGTCACTACATGCATAGGAAGCAGGTTTTTTGCATTTGTTTCAGCTTTTTGATTGTGTTCCAAAAAAAGTTGATGCCTTCCTAAGATGAATGTCTAGCTCAAGTCTGGGGAGAATCTGATTCAATCGTAAGGGCTACACATGTCCCATTTCCAATATTTTGTTACTGCCATTTATTAATATGCTGTTGCTGCCATTTATTAATATGCTGCAGAGTGAAGTTTATGGATGAGTTCACAGCAGTCTTCTTCCATAAAACAATTACGATCACGTTTATTATTTAATATTCATTCTCTAGCTTGAACCAGAATAGCCACCCAATGTAAATTATTCAAAATGAATCATTTCTCTGCCACCAAATAAAAGTGAGACTCTGTCTTGTGCTGCTTTGTTAGAGGAATCCATTCATCAGGGCTGGTGCCTCAGAAACAGGAAGTTCACCTAGGACTACTTAATGTAGCACCTCGCCTGAGGGTGCCGGGTATGGGTACCTGTAAGTGCAACTCTACTCCACCATCTTAAATTTGTGACTCTGGTGTCTTCTTTTGTAATAATAAGAGAAAAGTGACTTATTTTGAACAATTTCAATGAATGTGCTAATGAAAGTCAATTCTTGCTTGAAGAAATCCTGTAATAAATAA